GAAACTTAAGTGAAGGAGGTGGAAAATTATAGGGTGAATGACTTTGGAAGGCTATGCTTGGGGAGACGACCCCAAGATAAACCTCTATCAATAAGCTACAGAGGAATATTAAATTTAACAAAACCAGATAAATTGCCTTTCATGTTAAATTGGGAGAAGGAGCTAAACATGAGTGGGAGCCCTTTAAATGGTATAGGGCTATGAGATCAACTAAGGCTGCCACACATAATATACAACACATAGAAGCAACATACAAAATGTGGCTACGGTGGTACATGACGCCACAAAAACTGTCGCAAATATATCCAGAGAATGTGGGGACATGTTGGAGATGTGGGGAAATGGAAGGATCTATGACTCATATATTTTGGCAGTGTAAAAAAATTATTGATGTATGGAAACACATACAACAATTAATTTTTAAAGTTACAAACACATTGATACCCCTGCAACCAGAAATATTCCTACTACACATTATGCCAGAGAGAATATTGCCACAAGAAAAAGTGTTAATTATACATATTTTGATGGCTACAAAAAATGCTATAGCAAGTTTATGGAAAACAAAACAGGTACCATCATTAAGTATAATAAGAGAAAAGATCTCTACTACTAAAATTTATGAGGAAATGGCATATAGGCTAAAAGGCAAACAACACATTTATGAAAAAAATTGGGTGAGGTGGAAATGAAATGAGAGGAAATTAAAAGAAAATAAGGGGAATGAAACAAGCAAAATAGTCTCATTAATACAGACGGTAAATAAAATTTAGGTGGTACAAAACAAATGAAGGAAGAGGGAAGGGAAGAGAGACGAGGGAAAGAGAACGAGAACAGGAAAAAACAAAACAAACAAAAAAAACAGATTGATATAGATGTTTGATATGGAATTCTATAAATTGAATAAAATTGGAAATGTAGACTTATAAAAGGAAGAATTACTATAATTGTACTTTTTTATTTCTAATTTATATATTTATCTCTATATATATATATATTTTTTTCTTTCTTTTCTTTTTCTTCTTTAGAGAGGGAGGGATAAAAATTTACTTTATACATATCCTGATTCTTGTAATAAATTATCTCAGAGGGAAAAGGAGAAAGAAAAGAAAAAGAAAGGGAGAAAGGAGAAAAAGAGAAAGGAAATGTTTATTGTAAAAAATAATTTAGTGAAAAGATATAAAAAGCTGTGTTACTGAAGCCGAAAATAAGTTAGAAGAGATTGTAAAAGATAGTAATAGAATATCTTGAATTGTGAATGGTATCTCTCTATTTCTGTATATAATTTTTTTTATTTTTTTTATTTCTATTTTTATTTTTACTAATTTTTTAAAAAAAAAATTTTTTATTTTTTTTTGTTATACTGATGCACAGTGTTGTGTTTTCTCTGTAATTTGAAAAAGTGAAATAAAGATTTAAACATGAAAAAAAATTACTATCAACCTAGTAGACTTATTACATACAGTGATCTATAATGCTAAATGTAAATATCACCATACACATACATCTAAACAAGCAAAAGAAAAAAAAATCCTAGTTTTCTGTTTCTGAAACACCGCTGGTCTTTCGCATAGTTAAAATGGCCACCGCCTCGTGGTCAACATAGTAGTATAACCATGCGAACCGCCAGCCAGGGAACACTCCAAACTCCCGAACGGAGTTTACTGTGGGCTACCTGCCCGTATTTATGCAGGTCTCCCACTTGGTGGACACTCCCCTAGGGGACCAAATGGGAGACTGGAATAACAGAAGGACATGGGGACATTTTAGACATACAACCCCACAATATTCCCAGCATGCATCACAGTTTCCTCCCCTCTGCTCGGGAGATAATTGAGAAGTCATTCAATTATCTCCCAGAGCAGAGGCAAATCGCCATTTTAAATACAAGTTACAAAACACATTAAAATACATAACTTTATAACTGCCGAACGTATTGCATTCGTATAACACATCCCCAGATAGCCTGGATCTGAGTGCATATTATTGGCGAATAGCGCTCAGTTCCCATACGCACAGTTCAATCACCATGGAGTCAAAGTCTATTACAGTTCTTCGGTATGCGATTGACTCCATGGGAAGGCTAACTGAGGTAAGTCCATTCGTGCCTTTAAACCTCTCGAACGGCCGTTATTCGCCTACTTTTGTCGATTGAGAAGGGGAGGTCGACGGCTTCAGCGGTGTTCGGTTGAAAAAGTGTCCGTCTTTAGTTCCATAAAATAACCGTCGAACACCGCTGGTCTTTCGCATAGTTAAAATGGCCACCGCCTCGTGGTAAACATACGAATGACGACCACCCTGTATTTGGTTTTAATTGAGAAGTGTCTGTGGTTAACTGCAACATTCTAATTGGGATCAATAGGTTAACCAGCAGCACACTTCTCTTCTGGGTGGCTGTCCGTTCGGTAGTTCAACAAATAAAAGACATTCCCTTAAACAAAGCATACAAATGGGGAAATTCATACAAACGGCAAAACAGACGAACACAGCAATTCCAGTTCATACAGATGGGTCTGTCACACGGCTCCCCCCTTGTGGAACACTCCGGCAGACCCGGCTTGACCCTTTGGCGGGTCAACTTGGGGATGACCGGACTGGGAAGGAGTAGGAACGTCTGTTTGCCGGGATAACCCATCCGTATTCCCATTCTGCTTATCGGGTCGGTAGCTGATGGTGAAGTTGTAGGGCTGCAGTGCCAAACTCCACCTCAGCAGTCTGCCATTGTCTCCTGAGACCCGGTTAAGCCAGACAAGGGGATTGTGGTCTGTGATAAGGGAAAACTCCTGCCCGTACAAATAAGGGCTCAACTTCTTCAGTGCCCAGACCAGGGCTACACACTCCTTCTCCACTGCCGCATAACTCACTTCCCGAGGTAGTAACTTTCTGCTTAAGTATGCGACAGGGTGCTCTCCTTCATCTTCCCCGACCTGGCTCAGCACAGCCCCCAGTCCATACATGGAAGCATCTGTATGAACAAGAAAACGTTTGTTAGGGACTGGGGCAGCCAGGACAGGGGCATTCACAAGAGCTTGCTTCAATGCCTGAAACGCGGCTTCACAAGCTGGAGACCACAGGACCTGCTTAGGTAAATTTTTCTTAGTCAGGTCAGTCAAGGGCTTGGCAACCGTACTGTAGTCGGGGACAAAACATCGGTAATACCCTGCCGTCCCCAGGAAGGCCAGCACTTGGGTTTTGGTGATAGGTGTGGGCCAGTTAGCTACAGCCTCTACCTTGGCTGGCTCTGGTCGCTGGCTCCCACATCCTACCCTGTGACCCAAGTACTGCACTTCTGCCATGCCTAAATGGCACTTGTCTGGTTTCAAGGACAGGCCTGTGGCCCGAATCTTGTCCAGCACCACCCCCACGTGTACTTGGTGTTCTTCCCAGGACTCACTGTAGACCGCAATGTCATCCAGGTATGCACATGCAAATTCCTGGAAGCCATCGAGGAGCCTATCCACCATACGCTGGAAGGTAGCCGGAGTATTCTTCATCCCAAATGGCATGACCTTAAACTGGTACAGGCCAAATGGAGTGACGAATGCCGACTTAGGGATAGCATCCTCGGCCAGGGGAATCTGCCAATAACCTTTACACAGGTCAATGGTGGTCAGATAGCGCCCCCGGCAATGCGGTCTAATAACTCGTCTACCCGGGGCATCGGGTAGGCGTCAGTGGTGGTCCGCTCGTTGAGTCGCCTGTAGTCCACACAGAACCGGGTGGTCCCATCCTTCTTAGGCACTAGGACTACAGGGGAGGCCCAAGGGCTGTCTGAGTGCTCGATAACCTCCAGCCTGGTCATCTCCTGTATCTCCTTCCGCATTCCTTCTCGGACTGCTTCAGGGATACGGTATGGGGGTTGTCGTAGGGGGTTCTGTCTGGGTGTCTCGACCTTGTGCACAGCTAGGGTAGTGTACCCGGGTTCTTGGGAGAACGTCGCCTGCTTCTCCCACAGCAGCTATCTTGCCTGTACCTTCTCTGCAGGGTTCAACCGGTCCCCTAGCTGTACAAGACTAGTTAGGTCAGTCTGGGGATCCTTCTCTAATAAGTCGGGTAAGGGTAAATTCTCGGGGTCATCAGTAGCTGGGGCACATACTGCCGCAACATCCTCTGGTCTCTCCTGATACTCCTTTAGCATGTTCACATGAAAGGATCGCTGAATCCTTTCATCCGCACAGCTGGCTATAAGATATATCACATATCGCTATATCACATACCTTTATACGGGCCCTGCCAAGATGCTTGCATCTTGTTAGTCTTCACAGGCTTGAGGACCAGAACCTTCTGCCCTACCTGGAAGACCCGCTGTCGGGCACCCCGATCGGACCACCTCTTCTGTCTCCCCTGGGCCGCCTGGAGATTCTCCCTTACCATCAGGGATAGTTTCTCCATGCGGTCCCGGAGTTCCAGGACATGTCTGTCCCCCCTCCTGTCTCTCCCTCCCCCCTCTGTGTCTCTGTTTTGCTCAGTTTCTGTCCCTGCTAACTCAAGTGAGAAGTGACTGTTGTTTTTGGTGTTCTCCGTTCCCTCCTCCTCATTGTATCTATCGTGCCTTATTTAACCCCTCACCCCATCTATTGATGCGGTTCCTCTTTCGGGTCGCAGGTGCTGATGTTAAATCTTAGACCCCGGTGCCCATCCTACCACCTGCCCCAGTTTGTCTGCTGGTTTCCCCCCGGTTTGGGAGCTGTTTCTTTTGTGAGGGAGCAGTTCCATGCTGGTGATTCCCAAGTGCTCCCATGTCCTTCCCCGGCATTACTATATGCCCTTTGTCACTTTTAAATGCGGGATCCTCTGGCCTTTGCCTTTTGGGGCTACTTCCTTGCCGGGTCTCATCCCCCTGCCCTCCCCCCCACAAAGCCTAGTTCCCGGTCTCCTAGTGTCCAAAGGAGAGTTGGGTATTGTTAGTTCGGTACTCCGGGACCGGAACCTCACTCCACTAGTTAGTAGGTGCTGGTGTTGGGCGGGGTGGGCGGCATTATGTCAGCAAGGTGATGGAATTAGTCTAGCACCTGTATGCAGTTGCCCTGGGAGACCAACTCCGTCTTCAGTGTCGCCACTTCGGTGCAGATGGCCTCGTGGATGGTCTCAGACAGCGTCTGTAGGTCCGTTTTCGTGACCATTGCTGTGGCGAGTGCTTTGAGGTTGGCACTAATATCCGCGAGCGTGGGTCGGTCCCTATCCGACCTGTCGGCCGCGTTGGGGCCTTGTATCTCGTGGCTCAGGGTCTGCGGTTTATGGAGGTATCCATCCATGAGTCCAGGAGTGGACGAGCCTGGATAGTTCCTCGGGGTCTGGTTAGTCTCTGGGCGTATGGTGCGGCCCATCTGTCACTGCTTTAGTCTTTGAAACTTGCAATTTGTAGCTTCATGGGAGAGAGCTATGAATTCAAGCAGCCATTACCGTCGGTGGTCAGACAAGCTCAACATTTTTTTCTTCCTTAATAGACCAGGCATGAAAAGCTCCAGAACCGCATCCAGAAATCTCCAATTAACACAGTTTAATACCTTTTCTGCATCTAGGGCTATAAAGCCTCTGGACCTGATTGGATACAGGGACAATGCAAGCAGTTAACCAATAGAAACACAATGTATCTTTTGAAATTGTTACCGCCCAGCTTGGAGATAATGAATCCAACTGTTATGACAATGTAATCATTTCCAAGCTCCCAAAATCCCACGTTTTCTTGCAACATACAAAACAGTATAGAAATACATAACTTTAGCATTTTAATAGACAATTTGTGCTTTCTACCATTCATTATGTAGCCCAGATATGAGCGCAGCAGATAGTTGAACAGCGCTCAGAACTCCCGAACGGTATGGCTAGTTTCATCAATATAAAATCTGTTCGTGTCTTTTGTCCCGAACATGAGACGGCTGCCATGTTTTCAGGTGAGTTAATGGGCAGCGGGACCTCAACCCCAAACTCATGGAATGAGTAGCGGCCAGGGGCTTACACGAATCCCCGCTCTTATGATGGTTGTCCCAGCCGTTCGGGAAGCGAACGGAGACCGCCGGAAAGGGGTACTTAACCTGCGGTTAACCACAAAACCAACATTCTAAGTCCTCGTTTGTGAGACTTTCAGTAGTTTTAGTTTGGGAAAAAGTGCACAAATGGGAATGCCCTGGGACTGTCAATTAGGCTGTGGTTAACCGCAGACCGCAGCTCTCTTGGCGATTAATTAGAGGCACGCTCCGCTTGTAGGGTGGTCGGCTGTTCGGGTATTGGAAAGGTGACAAGGGTTAAGTGGTGGCACACGCCAGGGGCCATGTGGTCTGTTGTTCGTATACACGAATGGGTAATGGGAAATCGGTTTGGGGATTAGGTTACATAGTTAAAATACTGAAACAAGGTTCCGTGTGGAAACAGAAAAGATCAATATTGTAGCAGTCTGTAGAGCTTTTGTAACACTGTCATTATCTGAAGTTCTGCCTGTGCATAACACTCAGAATGACAGGCGGATGCGTATTAGGGACTTTAACTTGTGGCTTGGTGAATAGTGTTGGGACTAAGGATTTGGCTTTATTTCTCATGTTAGCTCTGTTTGGAATGGAAATAAACTGTACAAAAAAGATGGTTTGCATCTTTCTCAAAAGGGAACAAATGTTCTCAGTGAGCAGTTCAGAGGTTTTGTTAGGATGTATTTAAACTGGGGGGGGGGGCAAAAGGGTGATAAAACATCAATCCAATTGTCCCCCCAAAACAAGGACAGAAGGTGCCTGTAGCAAGTGTGTTAAAAAATGACAAGCTTAGAGTCATGTCTACAAATGCTTGCAGTTTAGGGAATAAGATCCATGAACTTGTGGCAATAATAGCAACTGATAGTGTAGATTTAGTCGCTGTTACTGAGACATGGTATAATGAGAAAAATGACTGGGACTTAGCAATACCAGGGTATTTTTTATATAGAAAAGACAGGGAAGGCAAGAAATTGGGAGGGGTGGCCCTGTATGTGAAGGATAGAATAAAATCTAGCCTAATAAAAGTTAGTGAGGCAAACAGAGTCGGTTTGGGTTATGTTTTGGTAATCACACAGTTACTCGTGTAGGTGTGATTTATAGGCCCCCAGGACAAATTGAAGAGTTAGATAATCTACTAGTTGAGGAAATAGCTAAAATGACAATGAAGGGGGAAGTTATCATCATGGGTGACTTTAATCTTCCTGCTGTGAATTGGAAAACAAAAATAGCTGCTTGTGCCAGGAGCACACATATTCTAAACTTCCTACTGGGATTGTCTCTAAAACAAGTCGTTGAGGAGGCCATACTAGATTTAGTGTTAACAAATAGAGATTTGGTATCAGATATTACTGTAGGTGAAAGTTTAGGATCCAGTGATCATCAGTCAGTGTGGTTTAATATAAGAACAGTGACTGAGTCACACCACACAAAAACAAAAGTTTTAGACTTTAGAAAAACAGACTTTTCTAAAATTAGAATAAGTGTAAATGAGTCATTATCAGGCTGGAGCAATTTAAATGGAGTCCAAGGGAAATGGGATTATTTAAAAGTTGCACTACTGAAGGCAACAGAAAATTGCATTAGGCTTGACAGTAAAAGCAAAAAATTCAAGAAACCCCTGTGGTACTCTGCAGATGTGGCCAAAATAGTAAAAAACTAAAAGTTAGCATTTAGTAATTATAAAAAAACCCAGAGTGAAGAAGACAGAATGATCTAGAAGATTAGGCAGAAAGAAGCTAAGCAAGTTATAAGAGCTTCCAAATCACACACAGAAGAGAAAATAGCACAGTCAGTAAAAAAAAGGGGGACAAAACTTTTTTTAGATACATAAATGAGAAAATAAAAGTAAAACAAGGATTAGTTAAATTAAAAACAAAAGAAGGAAGGTACGTAGAAGAGGATAAAGGTCTAGCTGACTGCCTCAATTAATATTTTTGCATTTTATTTTTGTGTTTTACATATACTACCTACTTACTAGCCAGTGAGCTACAAAGTATCATCTTGATCTAAATCTCCTGATCCAGTTGGAGGCCCTTTTGAACTACAGCACTTTAGAAAAGAAGAAACTCTTAGGCAGGGATTATACCACCCAAGCATATATAGAGAGAGATATCCTATCTGTATATTGTTACGGTACACCCTGGTATAAGAGGAGTTAATACCGCTGAAGATGTTCCCTTTCCGAATAGAGAAGCAGCTAACGAAAGCTCCAATTAGCTGAAGACAGGAACCATACGAAATCCTTCACAAACCAAACAGCCGAACGAGTAAACCATACGAATCCAATACCCCCAAGTACGAGACCAAGCTCCGTATTGAGGGTTAAGCAGTTTAATCTGGGCTACCTGCCCGGTATTTATGCAGTATCCCACCAGGTGGACACTCCCCTAGGGGACCTGGTGGAAAACTGGGACAAATATAATACAGTAGCCAGTAGAAACACTTTGTCTGTAAACACTCCCCTTTTGCTGTACAGAACCCTACTCTCTATCCTGTAGATAATTGGGAAGTAACTCAATTATCTCCCAGGATAGAGGCCAAACTCCATTTTACACGTGGTGGAGAAAATACATAAAAAGAACGAAGACCGACCGCAGGGCCAAAACCCGTGGAACCCTTTTCGGATACCACCTTGTGGTACATCCTCCACCTAACTCTCGAACCCCTAGTCTGATCTGTGTGAATTTTGGATATGTTAGTCACCCAGATCAGGGCTACCAGGGGGTACCCACAGTATTATTGTAACTGCTTGTTTTGGGGTACATTCAGAACTCGGGGAAAACTACAGTATGTATAATGGGATTAAGTGTCATACTGAGGGGAGGAGATGTGTGGGAGGTAACAGTTACACTATTGGATACTGTACTAATTACTGTGAATCCCTCCCTTGCATGGGAGAATGCTTTATAAGGAGACTGTGTGGATTAAACATTAGTTCTACTCCTGATGCTGTGTGTCGTCTGTATGGGGATATTCGTGGATTACTTGTTTGCTGGAATTACTGCTTCATGGTGTTTTTATTACTTGTTCCTGAGCCTCACTGGGATCTATGGTGGAGTTAACCTGTGGAATACCAGGCCTCCGCTACAGGGAGCATTCAGTGCCTCCATGCAGAGCGTGGAGATGCTCAACATAGGTGTGGCACACTGTGCAGCACTGGACTAGGAAGTAGATCTAGTGACTGTCACTAGAAATGTTCCTAGGCAGCAATGTAAACACTGCCTTTTCTCAGAAAAGGTAGCATTTACAGTGCTCAGCATACAGGGACAGTCTATAGACACCAGAACCACTACAATAAACTGTAGACGGTCTGGTGATTATAGTGTCCTTTTATTAAGATGTTTTTCTCTCACCGATCAACTCTAAATTACAGGGACAGCAGGAGACACAAGTGAAGATGCATTTTGTTTGTGTCTTTCTCCCCCATGCACCTTTCATGTGTCTCTTAGCCCAGCCCCTTTGTCTTTCATCCCTTTCCCAGCCCTTATGTTAGTCTCTTTCCAAGGCCGCATCACTTTTGTGTGTCTATTTCCACACAGCTCCTGTGTGTTTCTCATTCTTTCCTTCTCCAGCCCTTCTGCAAGTCTCTTTCCCAGACCCCAGTACCTCTGTATGTCTTTTTCCCCACAGCTCCTCTGTGTATTTCATTCTCCCCTTCCCTAGCCCCTCTGTATGTCTCCTGTTCCCCTTTCCCAGCCCCTTTGTCTCTCTCTCTTCAGACCCCTCTGTGTCCTTTTTTCTCCCCTGCCCCTCCATGTGTCTCATTCCACCCCCTCCAGCCTTACATGTTTATCATTGCCCCGCCACCCCTCCATGTTTCTAAATCCATCCCCCCAGACATCCATGTGCCTCAATCCATCCCTCCCAGAAATCCATGTGTCTTATTAGCTCCCTCATCCCCTCCATAGGTCCCTATAGCCCTTCTCATTAGCCCCTCCATATGTCTTCTAAGACACCCATGTGTCTCATTAGCCCCCCATGTGTCTCTATAGCCCCCTCCCAGCCCTCCATGTGTCTCATTCCACCCCTCCAGTCTTACATGTGTCTCATTAAGCCCCCCATCCATCTATGTTTGTCAATCCACCTCTCAGCCCTCTGTGTCTCAATCCGATCCCCCAGCCCTCCATGTGTCTCATTACCCCTCAGCCCTCTGTGTCTCAATCCATTTCCCCAGCCCTCCATGTGTCTCATTACCCCTCCAGCCCTCCATATGTCTCAATACCCCCCAGTTCTCCACGTGCCTTATCTCCCACAGTCCCTCCATAGGTCCCTATAGCCCCTACCAGCCCTCC